TGGTGATACAATAAATGATGGTATTTTCAGCTGAACTGTCTTTCATTTTTATTATAATGTCCTGTCTTTGATTTGATGTTTGGCATCTGAAATTGCCACAGCGTGGGAGATGGACCCATCATATTAAGTGTGTTATGAAGCTGTTGAAATTGCAACTCAATTATGTGCTAGTCTCATTTTTCTAATTTAATTGGTCATTTATTGTAAAGTCATGGAAATTGACACTCAGTGATCTAGGCATCTCAATTCTCTACTTTAGGTTGAAACCAGGCTTTGTTTCTCACTTGATAGCTCTTTTGTGGAGCACATTCCTAAAGGGAGTGACTCCTTCAGTCCTTACGACACTGTTATCTGTTGGCTTTCGAAGGAACTAGCTTACTGCTAACGTGCGATGAACAGCACGCTGAAGTTCAGTCACAGGCAGTAGTGTTCTTTTTTCCAGAAGTTACAGAGATTGTTCATTTTGACTCTCTAAACTGGCTCTGTTCACTCGTTTCTGATATTTCCCTCAGGCCCTCCTACCATCGGTATTTTGTTCTATTTCTTTAGATTACTGGCTTCAGTTAATTTTGCTCTACAGTTGTGAGTACATGAAACAGTTTATTCTTGTATTACTACTTATTAATTATTGTATTGCTCCCCATATGGACAACTATAAACCTCCTTTTGCCCCACTCTGTATTAAAAACTTGGCACTTTTAAACCGATTTCCTTAAGTAACACCAACTTCGGAGGGGATAGGCTATGGTCGCCTTCCCTGAAGACTCGATTCCTGTTCTGACCTCTCCAGCCTCCCATCCCACAACTCCCATTCAGAGCAGAAGAATCGGCCATTTTACCAGAGACCTGAAGCTCTCAGGACTTCTTTCTCTGGGTGTGGATCTGGTCCATATATTACCGACCCTTCCAGGTCAGGGACCCAGACCAGGGTCCTTCTGCCCAGCGCCGTTTGCCCCAGTAGAATGAGGCTGAGTTCGGTAGAGTGGAGCAGAAACCTTATTTTTTGGCCAAGGAGTGGAAAGGGATGATCTCATGCTTCCACAGAACCTTCTCCCCGATGGGGAAGGAGCCTTGGGACCACAGTAGCTAACATGTGGGTCATGAGTATTCCATCTCTTATACTGCTGTATTACTTTGAAAAATTTGGCATATTTATGTCAGTGTACAATACCTTATAATTTTGAATTCTATATGACTTTGTAATTGTAGGGACTAGGCCAGTGATGGCAAACCTATGACACGCGTGTCAGAGGTGACACACGGACTCATTTTTTGGTTGATTTTTCTTTGTTAAATGGCATTTAAATATATAAATTAAATATCAAAAATATAAGTCTTTGTTTTACTATGGCTGCAAATATCAAAAAATGTCTATATGTGACACAGCACCAGAGTGAAGTTAGGGTTTTTCAAAATGCTGACACGCCAAGCTCAAAAGGTTTGCCATCACTGGCCTAGGCATTTTTGATATATATGAGGACAAGCAAAACTAATAGGCTGTAACCATGGTGATTTATAGGCATATAAAATTTCTAAGATATTTTTTACAACACTCATCATAAGATGTATTTGGTGGTTAATTTAACTGGTTAAATAAAGAGTTCCATTAATAAAACTCCTGCTATTTTATTCCCACATAAGTTAAATTTTGTTCTGTTAATACATAATTGACCTCTGATAGGCATTAACTGTTTCATAGCCGGTTAGTGAAAAGTCATCTCATAGCATGTATATGTGCTTGTATTTGTGAGACATAGTTCAGTATCGTCGATTTGTAAGTTAAGTTGCTGTGTGTGTAAGGGTTTCAAGTGAAATTGTCAGTCCCTTGTACTGCTTGGAGTAGATTTAGGCTTCCTAAGCTTTAAAGATTAATAAACTATTAATCCAAGAGCAGGAGGAGACAGGAAAGAAGAAAATAAAGGTAATTGGGTGTTAGGATATGAGGAAAAGAGCACCCAATATGGATAGCCCAGAGCATATGGGAAGAGTAAGTATTAATACGTAGAGAGTCTTTAATGCGAATCATATATCATGCCTTATACTCATTGATTTTACATTACTATCCACTAGGTGTTAACAGGTGAGGAACACAAAACCCATAGCATTTCCAGTTCTTATTCTCATTTTGGACTACACAGGAATCATAGACTTACCTAGTTCACACTGAGGTAAATTGGCCAAGCTGATCATGACCTCCATTGGCCTATCTAGCTACTCTGAGGAACACACTTGTAACGCATTTTACCCTGAGCTGGGAATCTCTGCCCTAACCAGTGGTTCTCTAACTTCATCAAGCATCAGGATTATCTGTAGGATTTGGCAACCCCCCCTCCCAAACCCACAACAAACGAACAAACAAGCAAACCAAAACATATTTCTGGGTCCCACCCCAAATTTCTGATTCAATAGGTTTGCACGTCTAATGAGTTCCCAGGTGACACTGATGCCGCTGTTCCAGGGATATTCTTTGAGAACCTGCTCTAGAAGAGGTTGCGTTACCTGCTTACCTTGTGATAAATCATAAAGCAGCAAAAGGTTGTTTCTGCAGATGATCATGATTGGCTAATTGTCTGCCTCCCAAACTTTCATCATTTCTTTTTCATTGTCAATTACCAGGCAGGAAAAGGTTGTTACTCTTGAATATTGAGTGTTACTTATTCTAGATAAATTCATATCACAGAATCATATAGCATGTATTATCACTGTATCATGAATAGTAATTGTTTAAAATAAGCAGAAAAGTTGAAATCCAAACCTAATTTATTTGAACATTATTTTTTTGCTCTATATTTAATGTACCTTTCACTTTTAAAAAAGATCTGCAGTACCTAAATTTGTCACAAGATGGCATTGAAAGGCTGAAGATTTTGGTTGAAATTTGTGTTTTGAAACCATTAATGGGTTAGATATATTTATATTTCATGTATATTCAAACCAAAAGAAATCTGAACTATGAGGTATTTTTAAAAAAATTTAGCGATATTTTGGTATTTTCCTGTAAAAAACTTTCTTATTTAGTTACAAAAAATAAAATAGTCAAATACACTGACATTATTGATAACTAATTCTTTCAAGAATCTAAGAAACATAAATCGTAATGTAATAGCATCAAATATTTTATTATGTATCCCCCAGAAGGACTTCACATAAATTCAAGTTATTAATTATAGAAGGTCTTACTGTTCTATGATTTATAGGTCTTATTATGCATAAGAAGATATCAATCTTGCCTGCAATGAGCTTTAAGTTTTAGTATGGGAAAAACGAAATGTATATACAATTCAAGAGAGAACAAAATCATAAAAGTGCTTAAATAAAATGTATTATATGGAATTACACAAACAATATGAACTGGAATAATGGGCAATTAAAAATTTTAAATGGTATTTTACAAAAATATCCTTGTATCAGTTGAAAACACTATGTTGAATTTTCCTTTTAATGATCTATATTATCATAATTTATTTAAACCATAAGGAAATTGTTCAGCAATATGGAGAGTTGTGTGAGATTCAGTATTTGACATAAATAAAGCATCAGAGTCACTCATTTGAAATATGAACTCATCTTTTATTTTATGAACATGTGATTTTATTTTTTTCTGATTAATTGAAAAATATTTTTCATAAGAGGGTGAAGATTTTCTGGTCACACAGATGTTATTTATGATATTACTGGATTCCTGGAATCTGAAAAACATAAAAAATCAAAAAAATCAAGTGTAGAATGGTGGTTATCAGGGTATTGAGTTTGGGAGAAAAGGGGATATGCTATAAAACAGTATAGATTTTGAGTGTTGCAAACTGAACAAGTTTTGGAATTCAGTTTTACAACAGTGTGAATGTACTTAACACTGTTGAACTGTGCACCTAAAAAGTGTCCGACTAGAAACTATGAGCAATTAATAGGTTTTTATTGAAGATCAACAATGTTCCTAGCTTTATTTAGCTATTCAGAGCTACTTAAAAGAAATAAAACCTCCTTAGGAAGCCTATATTATAATTGGTGATAGAAGATTAACTTAATATACTAATATAGTAATCTACTGAAAATCCAACATATATTAGGCATTGTGTTAGACACTTATTTTTTATTTTCTTAAATTTATTGGAGTGACATTGGTTAATAAAATTATATAGGTTTTAAGTGTACCATTCTATGATACATCATCTGTATATTTTATATAAATTATTTTTAATCTTCAATCCTCAAAACAACACAGGAGAGTTAGTATTATCATCCTTAGATCCATATTTTATCAGTTAGGAAAGTAACTTTTATCGATATGAATATTTAGTACCTTGTTGAAGTTTGCAAAGTTTCTAATCTTTGATTTGGTATTTAAGCCCAAATCTATGGAGCCTGAAAATCCATTTTCTATGTACTGCACTTTGCTTCTAATTTAAATAAAAAATAAAGAATACAATAAACAACTATTAATTTGTTTGGTATTTCTACTTCCAGTAACCATTATCTATTTTATATAATTACTAGAGGCCCGGTGCACGAAATTCATGCACGGGGTTGGGGGAGGGGGTCCCTCAGCCTAGCCTGCACCCTCTCCAATCCGGGAGGGATCAGGCCTAACCTGCAGTCAGATATCCCTCTTGCAATCCAGGACCTCTGGCTCCTAACCGCTCACCTGCCTGCTGGCCTGATCGCTCTCTAACTGCCCTCCCCTGCTGGTCTGATCACCGCCTAACTGCTCTCCCCTGCTGGCATGATCACCCCTAACCGCCTCTGCCTTGGCCCCTGCCACTGTGGCTTTGTCTGGAAGATGTCCGATCTAATTAGCATATTACCCTTTTATTAGTATAGATTCTGGCAAACTTTAAAGAAAGGACATGCAATTTAATTAATGTCAGCTGTTCATCTGGATTACATGTTAACTTCAGAAAGAATTACCATAGACTTTTTTTGTGGACTTGAGTTGTCTCTCTTTTTGTTTGTTTATAACTTTTGGAAACACTCACTTCTTTTCCCTCTGTATTCATGTGCAGGTTATGTGGGTATGCAATTTGTGCCGAAAACAACAAGAAATCCTCACCAAGTCAGGAGCCTGGTTCTATAATAGTGGACCTAATACCCCACAGCAACCTGATCAAAAGGCTCTCCGAGGACTGCGGAATGAGGAGGCGCCTCAGGAGAAGAAAGCAAAACTGCACGAGCAGGCCCAGTTCCAAGGACCCTCAGGTGACTTATCTGTACCTGCCGTGGAGAAAAGTCGATCTCACGGGCTCACCAGACAGGATTCTATTAAAAATGGGTCAGGAGTGAAGCACCAAATTGCCAGTGACATAGCTTCAGACAGGTAAACATTTTGCTTCATCTTTAGGTAAACATTACTACTTCTAATCTTTATTTCAAACAGAAATACAAATACATGAAATGTTTAGGCAACCAGTTGTCCAAATGTAATGTCAATGTCCATATGTTTTGTATAAAAGTGATGGAAGTGATGTGTAGGACTTTAGCTATGACAGGTTTGAACAATGTTAGGTTTGATGAGGGAGTGTTAGGTTATCAGGTTTTCCAGAAAAAGAAGTGAAATAAAACAGGGAACTTAGATGGGATGTTACTGTCAGAGGGAAGAAACTGGGGTAAGAGCAATGAGAATGAAGAAGAGGCTGGATCGATAAGACTGGCTGGAAGTGGGGAAGAGAATGGGGAAGGTTAACATTATTTCTAAAGGTTCTACCCTGGGCTGAAGGATGCGGTGGTTTTCCAAGCAGGTAACACAGGTAAAGGGTTTTATGAATTTGATCTACCTATGGCCTAACTCTGTTATTACTATTTTGGCTCAGTTTTATGGCCTTTTCCTTGACAAAAGTGTTAGACTTTTAACAATAGTTTATGGTTCTTATATTTCCTGCCTTTGGAAGGAGAAGAATGAAAAGATTTCCAAGGGAGGATTATTTTTCTGGTCCATATTTCTATTTTTGAATTAAAATTTTAAAGGAAAATCTGGTTTATATCGTATGTATTATTCAGAAATGGCAGGGACGTTTCTGGGTGAACAAATATGAAGTCATGCACTTGTGGAAAAACAAATCTGAATTGTACTTACAGGGTGGTGGGTTCTGAACAGTGTTAAAACAGGTAAGATAAGTGGGAGTCCCTTCAGATGGTGCCTAAAGCCGTCACACAGATGTGTTGCTAATGTCTTGGAAGAATAATAAAATGATGATGCACCAGTTTTGTGGGGTTTTTTTTTTGGCAAAAGTGAAACAGACAATGCAATTCTATCTTTGGAAAAGGCCATGGTGATTTCATGGCTGGAGTACTATGAACACATCTCAGTGCAGAATCTCAGGAAGCCAAGAATTTTAAGGTAGGAAGATCATCTTAGATTGAGAACTTAAGCACACAAAGGTTTGAGGGCAGATAGTTTATTTGGGTGGCAATCTCAGAAACCACCAGTAGGGGAGTGGAAAATGATCCAATTAAGAGAAAGAACACAATACTGGGTGCATTTGAGAGCAGATTACCTCTTTTGGCGATTGTGTCTCAGTCTTACTGGTACTTCTAGGAGACGGGGTATCATGACCTCAGAGTTATTCCACGTGATGGGCTAGGAAGCTGGGGTATTTATCCATAATTCTCTGTTGTTATTGGCCTAGGTCTGTTCCTGGGGAGGGGGGCGGGGCTTGTTAACGCTCTGGCCAAGCATGTTTCTGTTGCCAGAGAAAGCACTCAGGCAGAGTATTACAAATATAATCACAAGAAGCTTCTATGTAGAGAATGGTGAATGATGAAGCAGTGTTGGTTGGGACAGTAGCAGTATCTGTAAAGTGGCAGCCATAATGGCCAAGGTATATGAGCTTAGATGAAGAAAATGATGTTAACCAATGGAGGTAGGATTTTAAACGAATGACTTAATAAAATAGATAACATTGGCTCATTCTTCAAAATAGATAGCTACATTAGATCATCTCCTTTGGAGGTTAGAAAGGTAGGTTTAGGAAGAATAAAAGGAAATACTAAAATACTGGGTCACATAATAGTTTTTAAAGCTTTAGAATGCATATCATTAGGAAGTTGTGGATGTTAAAAATAAGTCCAACAAACTTATGAGTAATTAATTCATCATTGTAGGAAACTAGAAATATAGCACTAATCTTTGAAGAATGATTAAGAACAAATATATATTCTCCAATATTATCTGTTAATGCTTGTTTCTTTGACAGAGTACTAGCCTGAATAAACAGTACAATTCGACCCACTGTGGGGAAGCAAGATGTAGTTACTTTTTTTCTTTTTGCCTACTGCCTCTGGCTGCCATTACTAATAGAAGCATACTTTAATGACTCAATGTATTCTATAATTATGTCCTTCCTTTCTTTTTCTAAATATATTTTTATTGATTTCAGAGAGGAAGGGAGTGGGAGAGAGGGTTAGAAACATCAACGATGAGAGAGAATCATTGATCGGCTGCCTCCTGCACGCCCCACACTGGGGATCGAGCCTGCAACCTGGGCATGTACCCTGACGGGGAATCCAACTGTGACCTCCTGGTTCATAGGTCAATGCTCAGTCACTGAGCCACACCAGCTGGGCCATGTCCTTTCTTTCTGAAGCTCACATAAGTCAAACCAATAGCTCCTCTTGTTTATAAGAAATACTACTAGTCAGGGAAGAAGTTAAGAGTTTAATATCAAATTTGGAAGTTATGCCTAGAAAATGGAATTGGTTATAATTTATATAAACTTTTGGAAGATTCATTTTTTTCCCCAGAATAATTCAGTCCCCTTACTATAAACAAAAAGAGCATTTGTTTTATTATTTTTAAATGCAGATTCTGTAGTAGTTTATTAGGCATGTATCTATAAACCCTTTGAATTCTTTCCCCTGGAGCAGGAGGTCTACAAACTATGTTCCTGGGGCTCTATCTGGCTTGCCCCCTGTGTTTTTGTAAATAAAGTTTTATTGAGACACAGCCACAACTATTTATTTACTTATTGTCTATGGCTACATAGACTCAGCTACAACTCCAGAGTTGAGTATTAGTTATAAGAGGCCATATGGCTCTCATAACCTAAAATATTTACTCTCTGACCCTTTACAGAAAAGTTTGCCACCTCCTGCCTTAGAGAGTAAGTAGTTATTTTCTTATTTACTAGAGGCCTGGTGCACAAATTCTTGCACCAGTGGGGTCCCTCAGCCTGGCCTGCGGGAAACCGGCTCTCCGACATCCCCCGAGGGTCCTAGATTGCAAGAGGGCACAGGCCAGGCCGAGGGACCTCACTGGTGCATGATTGGGGCCAGGGAGGGATGCGGGAGGTTGGCCAGCCAGGGAGGGACCGGCGCAGGAGGGTTCCAGGGCGTGTCCGGCCCTTCTCGCTCAGTCCTGATCGGCTGGACCCCAGCAGCAAGCTAACCTACTGGTTGGAGCGTCTGCCCTCTGGTGGTCAGTGCACGTCATAGTGAGCAATTGAGCCACCTTAGCATATCATTAGCATATTACACTTTGATTGGTTGAACAGATAACCAGATGACTGGACACTTAGCATATTAGGCTTTTATTATATAGGATTATTATTTTAAAATAAGTTTTTATTGATTTCAAAAAGAGAGGAGGGGAGAGGGAGAGAGAGATAGAAACATCAATGATGTGAGAGAATCGTTCCTCGGCTGCCTCCTACATGCCCCACACTGGCAGTCGAGCCCGCAACCCGGGCATGTGCCCTGGCCTGGAATCTAACTGGCGACTTCCTGGCGCATGGGACTATGTTCAATCAACTGAGCCACACTGGCTGGGCAGTAGTTATTTTAATGCTGTTGAAATTTCTCCTTTCTTTACTCAGTTTTTTTGTTACTATTTAAATCGTTTCAGTTAAGCCTGTTTACTTATTCCTCATCCTCTTCCCAATTCTTCCTCCTCCTCTTCCTCTCTGCCTCCTCCCCTCCTCACTCCACATCTCACCCTTTATCCCTCTTTTTTTTTGCCTTCATTTCTCTCTCTCTTCCTTCTTACCAGAATGGGTCTTCTAGGAGCATTTAAGTTGAACAGTGAAATGGAGCTACTGATAAGGAATATAACTCCAGTTTAAAGTATTATTAATCATTTGTTTCTTCAGTACCATTCAAAAACCATTCTAGTGCCCTCAAAAGAGAAGCTTCGGTTCAATTAAATTTAAATCTTTATGGACCTAGAACTATGATTGAAAAATAGAAAAGTATGTTATGTTTCCTAATTTTAAGGAGCTTTAGTGTAATTTGTAACTACCTGCTACAGTAGTTTTGACCTATTTCTGACTTTTTAGTTCTACAGGCGCTTTCCTCATAGCCTGTTAGAATTAATTGAGTTAATAAATACCAACTTGACCCAAGACCTTAGCTTTGAGTTAATGAATATTTACTTAGTTCCTTTATTCATAAAAATGGCAAATGTTTATTATCAACTTAAATGCAAAATATTGTTAGAGATTTTCAAGTGTTTTTTTAATTTCAAAATACTTTTGAAATAATCATTTTTTATGTGCAATTTGCTTACCCTTACAAGGTCTACCATGAGTGCCTAGTGGTTTCTTAGCCTTTAAATTACATGCATAACATGGCGATCTTATTAAAATATAAATTTGAATTTGGTAGGTCTGAGGGAGGACCCGACAGTCTGTATTTCTAATTAGCTTCTAAGGGATGTCAATACTGCTAGTGCAGAGTAGGAGCAAGGCACAAAAGCATCTCGAAATACATTAGCGAGGGAAACACCCCTGGCCTTTCATAGCTTAGTGGCAGATAGAGAGGCATAACAGAGTGAAATTTTGTGGTTCTTAGAGGCAACATAATTCCACATTTATTTAGTGGGGGACAGATGTGGAACCAGCTACCTGGTGGCAGGTTGAATACATTCATATAGCTGCAAGCATCTGGCTCCTTTATTATGATATATAGTAAATACCTAAGCATTTAAACATTGCTTATTTAAATATGTTTTAATTATTATAACCTACTTATTTACTTCCCATTTATTATAGTTACACATGCTTAGCTCTTGTTCCACTATACTTATCGAGTGAGCAATCTTTACTTCCTACTGATTTGAGATGCCATTTTAGTCATGTATATTGGTTATTATATGTTAGGGTATATTTATAGGTGTTCTGTATTGTTCTTTTGACCAATCTGTTCAACACTTATATATAGTTTCAAAAATCCCATTTCCGTTACTTAAGCAAACTCAACTATTAGTTGTTGAAAGCAAGAAACTTGGCAACATGAACTTTACTAGTACCTTTAATTTCATAGTTATTTAACTGCAATCTACATTGTGGTATGTATTGGATTATGAGTGGGAAGATTTGTTTTTAA